AGAACAGAGAATGAGTTGCAAGTGGAGGAGAGGCCAGATTTGGGCCAGGCCCACCCCCAGCTCTTCTCCCAGGAGGCTGGTACACTGCCAGGACCCATGAGCCCTGGGAATGCTCTAGAGGAGACTCGGGGCCACAGAGCCATCCCACAATCGCTGTCCACCCTCAACGCCAGGCTCCGTCCCACTGCCGCCTCTGACCCAGCGCAGGCCATCTGGGGGCCCCTCCAGCGTGTGGTTGGGGCACCCGCACTGCCTCTGCTCTGCTGCCCTAGAACCATGCAGAGCCCCGAGGCCAAGCTGCGACCTGAGCCTGCGCCCTGTCCACGGGCCAAGAAGGTGGCAGTTATAGGCCTGTCTGTGGGGGACAGAGTTGAGAGTATTTCAGGAGCTGGGACAGCCAGTGAGGAAGGCAGGTCCTCTCTCGGGGCCAGCCACACTGAAGCTTGGGGGTGTGGTTTGCTCCTCTGCTAAATTACCGTGCCTCAACCCCTCCCTGGCAGAGGCCTGTCTTCCGTGCCCCCGGATTCATCCCCAACTGGGCAAGTAGGCAGTGATGTGAGGTCCCTCCAGGTGGGGAACCTGCTTCGGAGCTGGGTACAGAAAGGAGGGCATTTTTTCCAAGGATTTTGCTGGCCCCCCTTTTTTTTTTCTCTGAAATATAAGGATGTGCAATTTTTTTGGTTTCAATTTAGCATTGGAGAATTTTATAATTTAGTAATTAAAATCTCTGATAGGCTTTAGAAATTGCGGCTAATTGAATTTAATGGGAAGATGATTTTCAATTTTATTTGATTACCGGGACCCCTGGCATCGGTATTTATGGGAAAAAAATGGGAAATGTGCTGTGTGGGCTAAGATGGCATAATTGAATTAGGGATAATCGGATTTCTCCGTCATGAATTTCACTATAATTTTCCTATAATTTTCCATTAGATATCTAGTTTACAAATATTCACAAAGAAATGAAGCTCTTTCGGAATGGAGATTGCTGGCTAACAGGATTACGGGGCCGAGCGTGCGGCTGTGCCAGCCCCTCTACTGCCATAATGCGATCCCTGTATCTCCCTTATACTCAGCTTGAGCCTGGCCTCGGCCTCTTGCTGCACCACCCGCTCCACCGCTCCTCTCTGCCCTGTGTCTTCTCCGACCCTGCTTGCCCCCCGCCCGGACACCCACCTGTCCAGGGCCCGCGACTTCTAGTGCCCGGGCAGACTGTCCCATCCCCGTGCCGGGGTGCTTCCTGTCCACACTTTGCTCACTCGACGCTCTCCCTGACACCCTCCCACTGTCAGCCGGAGCAGTGCACTCACACGCAAACACACGGACTCCCTCACAGGTGCGAACATGCTTGTTCACATGTACACACAGTCCTTTGGCCAAGGCTCCTGTGCCCTGGCCCAGTCGCCTCAGAGGGAACCAGTTTATTGGGATCCTGGGGTGGGGTGCAGGAACAAAAGGAGCTTTGTTCAAGTTTATGTGAAAGTTACAAATTCAGAATGAGAGCAGATAAAGCCTGAGATACCTGGTGTGTAAACAGGCTGGTGAGTGAGAAGGCCCCAGGCTCGGGAGGGGGAGAAAATGAGTGGGCCCACTCTGGGGGTGTGAGGGGACCCGGAGCCAACCCCGGACGCGGCCTGGGGAGAGCTGACGGATTTCCCCGGGCCCGCGAGGGGCCTGGCGGCCGGGACTGCTGGGCATGGCTCTGCATTTTCTCTTGGGGATGGGATGGGGCATGTAAGGAGGTACTGGTGTCTCTGGACCCAGGGCCTTGAGACCGGGAAGAATTGAGGCATTGGGCTTCCCATGCCCCGAGTCCCAGGCACAGATGTCCTCCCTGGGGCCTGGCCTTGGGGTCACCGCATTGGGGTCCTCAATGCAAAAATGGGCCATAACCTTAGAGATGCCAGAGTCCTGGGCCTCTCCCCTTCCTCTGAGCACACACCCAAGGGGAGAGAGAGACACAGGAATCTGGGGACCCCCTCCATTATGCAGCCTCTGACTCACACCTCATGACCTCAATGCCTCAGCCTTCTTCTCAGACTTTCTCAAATCATAACACGCCAAGATGGCCTCATTCTCTGTGCCTCCCTGGCCTATCTGCTCTTGGGCAAGCCCTTGTAAGCCTGTAGTGGCCGACTGTGGCTCTTGCCTTGGCACAACAGAGGCTCTTCAGGCAGCCCACTCCTCCCTCCACCACCGTGCTTGACGGGTCCCTCTGGCTGGCCCTGTCTGCCCTGCGTCCTTCCACCGCAGGCCCCAAAGTCACCATGCAGCCATGTCAGCAGGCCTTGTCTAGGTGACTGGAAGGCATGCCCTGAGCCCCATCAGCAGAAGGCCAGAAGGACCTTCGGAGATAGCTAGAAGGCTGTGTGGGCCACATATGCAGGGGGCTCCCCGTACGTGCATCATCAAATAAACCCAGAAATCACCCTTCCACTCCTATGTGATGTAGGTCTCCAGGCTTCCTTCCACACCCAGCTGCCCAGGTGGGGAGGCAGACACTCAGGATCGGGTTGACGTTGCAGCCCAAAGCTGTAAGCCTTGCTTTGGAGAGTCAGAGGTGAGGGCAGCCAGAGCCATGCGTATACTGCAGAGTAGTCCCGGACGCAGAGATGCCTTCAGAGATTGGCCTGCGCCACCGCTTGTCCTCACCGCCTGGTAGCACATGGCTTGGTTCAGAAGCTCTGCTCAGGGTTTCAGGGTCAAGGGAATCCTCAGTAAAGTGTCTGGGTCTCTCCAGCTGCTTATCCTACATAGTAACGGGCATGACTGACTGGCAGAGGGCTGCCTGTGGAGAGGCAAAGGGGTCTCTCCAAGAAGGCACCGGGGAGGGCAGATAGGGAAGGGATGCTAATCTCTCTGTTGGGCCATTTGGAACAACAACAAAAAAGAAGAAAAAGAAGATGAAGAACAAAAGTAAGGGGAAAGTGGGAGAAAGAATAGACTAAGATTATTCTCTTTTTGTCCCAAGTTTTCCCTGGGCCTCTCCCTTTGCAAAACAGAAATATTGCAAAAATAAGCCAGTGCCATTTTGCTGAATCCTGCCCAAAGATCAGAGAAAACCCAGGGTCTCTTCCCCTCCCCTACCTGGAGGCAGTGTGGCCTTCCCTGAACCAGGAGGAGAGCAGAGCCCAGCACTGGCACCCAAGGGACACAGGGAGAGCTAGTGACAGTGAGACCTAGGTACTGGGCTAGCAGAGCTGTCTACGCTCCTGCTCACCTGGCTACCTCCTTCCTGGAGGCCCTCCAAGTCCAATGGGTAACTTGGATCACAAAAATAAAGGAATTTCAACACATCTGGCCAGAGCCGGGACATCTGGGGACAGAGAGACCCACCAGAGTGCTTTCTCGGGGAAAGAGCAGGGCACAGGAGCTCTGGGCTGGCAGACCGTGACCCCTGTCGGAGGGGCAGGTGGCAGGATGCTGGGGCCAAACTCCTTATTGAGGCCTGCAGGGGCAGGAGGGCAGAGGGAGCCAAGGCAGGTGCTGGCCTGAGTCTGTGTGGGGTGACCCGAGTAAAGGCTGCCCAGTGGAGTGGGGGAACGGGGAGGTGCTGGACGCCCCTCCTCACCCCACTGTGGGGCCAGGGGGCTGACCTTTGGGGCAGAGGAAGGGGAGAGAAGCCCTAGTGAAGAGCAGGGATGTGTAAGGGGGTCTGGGTCGGCCCGGGGCAGCCGGGGTCCGGGAGGACACCCGAGTGCTTTTCAAGGCAAAGTGGAAGCCAGGGGTCCTGGCTCTCCCCGCAGCCTGCAGCGGGTGGCACAGAGCCCTGCGAGGCCCACGTGTGTGTCCTGTCCCGCCTGCCCCCCCAGGCCCACCCCCCCCACTTCCCCGCAGCTTTAACTCCTGGGCACCGAACAGCCTCGCCACTGCCCCCACCGTCAGAGTCAGCAAGGAGGGGAAACACGAGCCGGATGTCCCCGCGCCGGGAGACCTCAGGGCACGCGCGACCCAGCAGGCACGGCCCTGTGGCCCCACGGCGCTCACCCCTGCGCCCACCCTCGTGGAAAAGTTTGCACGGCCCTGTGCGCGGGGAGCCCCGGGGCCAGCCAGCACCCGGAGCGCGGGAGCGCGCGGGGCAGGGGCGCGGAGAGGGAGCGAGTCCACGCGCGGGTGTGTGGAGGGAGCGCGGGAGCGCGCGGGGTTGGGGGGGGGCGCGGGAGCGCGCGCGGGGGGGTGGGGTTGGGAGGGCGCGGGAGCACGCGGGGGAGCACGCGGGGGAGTGCGCGGGGCAAGGGCGCGGGAGCGCGCAGGGGGTGGGGTTGGGAGGGACGCGGGAGCACGCGGGGGGGCGCGCGGGAGGGAGCGCGCGGGGCAAGGGCGCGGGAGCGCGCGGGGGGTGGGGTTGGGAGGGACGCGGGAGCACGCGGGGGAGGGGAGCGCAGGAGCGCGCGGGGGGCGGGGGGCGCGGGGCAGGGGCGCGGGGGGAGCGCGCGGGGGGCGCGGGAGGGGGCGCGGGAGCGCGCGGCTGGCGGCGGGCGGCCGCCGGAGTGGGCGCGGGGACCCGAGCGCCGCCCGCCCCCGCCCCCCCCCCCCCCCCCCGCCGCCCGGCCCGCGCCGAGGCCCCGCCTCCCCCTCCCGAAGTCTGAGGTTTGGGGCGTCGCTGGGCCAATGGGGCGGGCCGGCGGGGCGGGGGCGGCGGGGCCGCGCGTCCGCGTGGGGGCGGCGGGGGCGCGGGCGGGGGCGCGGCGGCGGGCGAGCGCGCGCCCATTCACTCTGGCGGCGGGGCGCGGGGGCGGGGGCGCGGGCGGGGGCGCGGCGGCGGGCGAGCGCGCGCCCATTCACTCTGGCGGCGGGGGCGCGGGGGCGGGCGCGGGGGCGGGCGCGGGGGCGGGGGCGGGGCGGGGGCGCGCGCGGGCGGGCACGGGCGGGCCGCGCGCTGCTCTTTCACCTGCCGGGGCGGCGCGCGGGGCCCGGAGGAGGCGGCGCCGCGGCCGCCCTGCCAATCACCTCGGCGCCTGGCAGCGCCCCCGGCCCTCCCGCCCGCCCGCTCCCTCCTGCCAAACTGTTACCCTGAGTGTTACCGTCAGGAGCAATGACATCAGGGCTTTAAAACAACTTGTTATTCGGGGAGTAATCAGTTGCAATTAGGCATTAATTAAGTATTATGAAAGTTGATTATTTAAGTGAATTCGGCTTTCGACTCTCCGACTATGGTGAGTGCGGCGCTGGGGCGGGGGAGGGCAGGGGGCGCCGCCGCGGGGCTCGGGCCGGGCGCGGGCGGGGGGCGCGGGCGGGGGCGGGGGCGCGGGGGGCGCGGGGCGCGGGCGGGGGCGCCCCTCGGCCCGGCCGCCCGGACCCCCGACCCGGGCCGCGTCTATAAATAGTTTCTCTTTTAGTTTAGTAAAGTGGAGAGCGGAGCGGAGCTGCGGAGCGCGCGATGCCGGAGCGCGAGAGCGGCGGGGGCGGGCGGCCGGGCGGGCGGCAGAAACTTGGGCTCTGCCCGGGCCGCTGCCCCGCGCCGGGTCCGGGGACCGCTCCGGCGCCCGCGGGGGGGGGGGGGCGGCGGCCGCGGGGGCGGGGGGGCGGCGGGGGCCCCACGAGACACTAAACAGATGTTTTTTTTCTTTCCCCTTCTGTTTTTGGCGTTCCTCGAAGAGTTTGGGACCAAAGAGAGGAGCATGGATCTTGGTACAGGTACCGGCGGTGGGAACCAGGGGAGGCTCTTTCACTTTTCTTTCGGTTCTTTTACGGAAGTTAGTATTTTTAGCCCAATGAGGTAGCAGCTGAGCAGGGGTGGGGGCTGGCCTGGAGAGGGTCCGGCGCCCGCTGCGCTTCTCGCCCTGGTTTCTGGATTGCGAGGCTTCTGATGATATTATTGTTATTATTTGTTACTTGCTTAGTGACTGTGACTAATTTGATGCTTGTCATTATGAAAGAACCGAGGGGAGAGGGAGCTGGGGGGCACCCAGAGAGAGGATTTAGGGGTTTTTTGTGGGGGTTTTTGTTCTCCGTGTTTTTTGAATGGCTCCGTGTTGCGTGTGTGTGTGTGTGTGTGTGTGTGTGTGTGTGTTCTTTTTCTCCGGCAAAGATCTCTGTGTGTCAGGCTCTGGGGTGTGTGTTTTTATTTTTTTAGTGGGGGGTGGTTTAGTTTTTGAAAGCAGCGTCCTGTTGGGAAAGGTGGTTAGTCTGGTTTCGGGGCGACTGTGTCAAGGTAAAGGAATTTAATTTATTTGGGACAAGGCTGTGTCGGATGATCAAGCTGCTTATTATGGCTAATGAGTATTTTTCACCTGAGAATCCGTGGGATGAGGCGGCTGTTATCAGTTCAAAGTGAGGGGCCCAGGACTCTCTCCCCTCCCCTTTTGTAGCTCCCCCCACACACAAGGGGTACACCAGACAAACTACTGAATTTGAACTGTGGGTTTTGGGGGGGCCTAGTATGGCACAGAGACTAGGCTCCCAGGTAGCACGGTGCTGGCTTGGGGCAGTTTATCCTGATATTTTCGTGTTTTCATTGGTTTGAATCTAATTTTTTCAGTGTTTTTCTTTTCTTCCCATCTGGGGTTCCAACCGGAGCCCAGAGTGAGGTTTACCATAAGCGCCTCAGGCTTTCAATTAGCCCTCTCTCTTGAAACCACATTTTGACCAGGACCCTCAGATCCTGGCCTGACAAAAGCCACTGCCTTCTTTCTAAATGTTTTTTGAAAGAAGTCCGTAGGAAACAGACTGATAATTCATTGACGCTGATCTCTGAACCCTCCTGTCTCACTTAGAGAGAATAGGTGGCTGTCAGGGTTGTTGTTTTTAATGGGCCCAAGTTCATGGCGTTGCCCTTTGGGACCCATGAGCTGACATTTGACCTTCTGAGGTCAAAGGGGAGTGGGCAGAAAGAGCAGGAGGGAGGCAGTACTGGGGGGCCCAGGCTGGGTGACACGGTGGTCAGCTTTGGGAAGTGGGTGCCTGTGTGTGCGGGCACGGGCGGTGGCTCTGAGTTTTGTCCGTGTCCAGCAGGTGTGATCTCAGGTACTGTGAGGTGGAGGTCCTTGGGGCCTGCGTGCCCAGGAAAGGTGTGACACCCCCTGCTGGGCAAAGTGGTGAAGGTCTGTAAGGCCACTGCTGCCCCCGCCCCTCCCTGGCCTCCACACACGCCCACCCTCACTGTAATCAGGTATAATCAGGTGTTTCATCGCCTCCTGCCCCCGGACCCCACCCCCTTTCTTCAGAAGAAGGGCCCCCGCCCAACCCAGCCCAGGAGCAGGCCTTAGAGATGGGCCAGGCGCCCTGCACCACCCCCTGCCCGGCCTGGGCTCTGCTTGTGGGCGGGCACCGCGGGCCCAGGCATTACTCAGCTGGCAGGCGGGCCCTCCTCGTCTTCCTCCTTGTAACCTGGGTGCCAGCTGGAGCTGGCGTCTGTCCCCCTGCCTTACACCAATGGTCCCTCCCCGTCTGCTGGGGGCACACGACCCCAGAGCCTTTCTGGAGGGTGTCCCGGACCAGAGAGAGGCTCCTGGGCCTGTGGGAGGCAGAACCTTCTAGAGCGTCTCTGGGGCTGAGGGAGACGGACTGCTCCAGCACCCCAGGGTTAGGCTCTGGAGGAGCCACTGAGGTGGACAGGTCCCCCTCCCGAGGGAGCAGGGCTCTCCCCGAAGCCCCCCCCCCCCCAGCTCTGGCCTGTCAGCGGGCGGAGCTTGAGGTGTCCTAGCGCGCACTTTTCCTGGAGGAGTCATCTGCTGCTACCAGCTCAGCCTTTTCTCTGAATTTGGAAGTTTCACTTAATTTCAGAACTTCCAAGGAAAAGCACTTTTTTCCCTCTTCACAAAAAAAGGGAAGCAGGTGGGCACTCTGAGATCCCCTCTGAGCCCATCTTGGGGCGCACCCTCAGTGCCTGGGGTGTGCTTCTGGCCCCGGCTGCGGCCGAAGGGCTCGTGGCTAGCAGGGCTCCGCGCTGGTGCTGTGAGGGGCTCTGTTCTCCGGCGACCCGGCAGGGCTTCCCCGAGAGCTTCTCTGGCACAGTACAGCGCAGTGTGGAGACACTAGCCCCATAGAGGTTGCTGGGAGCCAGGGGCCCTGTAAGCGTGGGATCAGGGGTCGACGTCCTCTCCCGCCTGGGACAGGTCTGGGTCCTGAAGCACCCTGTCCAGAAGCCATTCAGTGCTGGATAACCTGGGCTTCTCAGGAGGGACGGCAGGACCCCAGGACCCTCAGGGGCCATGTGGACCCTTGTTCCCCCACTATAGTTCAGCCAAGGGCTGGATCAATCTGGACGTCTTTAGCAATAAAAAATGCCGATGTCGTCCTAATTCACCAGGCCCCGAGATGACAGCAAATTTACATTTTTTAATTAAACTAGCAGCCAGTTTTTATGAGAGGGGGTTGGGTTATGCAAATCAAATGGTTGTGTACGGAAGATTAGGAGAGTTTGGGAATAAATTCCACAAATGCTAATAAAAAAAAAAAGGAAAGGGAAAGAGAGGAGGGAGGGAGGAGAGAGAGGAAGAGAGGAGGACATAGTTCCATTAGGCCCTTTTAGAGTGATTTCCCTGGGGGAGGGAGCCGGGCAGGGGAGGGGAGAGGGAGGGAGCTTTCAGACACAGGTAAATCCATCCCGCAGTTGGGAAGCTCCCCAGGATTAGGCCCCCAGCTAGGCTCTGGCTGGGCCCCAGCAGGACTGGAAGCCTGAAACAGCAGTGGAACTTTGAGAAGGAACTTGCCCTTGGTTCTTAGGGTCTGGTTGTGACTGCCCCGCTGTCCCCAGGGAGAGCATGAGGAGGAGAGGAGGGGCTGCCCAGGGCTGACCTGTCCATCAGTGAGGCCCTGCAGGTCAGGGGCCAAGGTGCAAGTGAGCCAGTTCAAGGGGATGGCCATGGACAGAGAGCCGAGAGGGGGGACACTGTCCACTGGGTCGCCATGGTGTCAAGGGGAGATCAGCGGGAGGAGGGCTGGGACCCCCAGGCATCGCGCACGGACACCCACGCCCCCACCTTTGCACCCCAGCCCTGGCCTCAGCTGTGCAGGAAGCCCCAGCAGGTTGTCCTCGATGTTCCTTCCTCAAGCCTTTCCTTGGCCAGATACACCCACTCGACCAGTCTGCGCTGGGCCGGTCCTTGCAGTCAGGTTGGGCACCGGTTTTGCCAGTCTGCTGAGGGGTAGGTGCCATCTTGGCAGGAAGGAGCAGTCAGAGCCAAGGACAGATGGGCTGTCTCGGAAGTAGCCGGCTTCCTGGTACCATTCACACAGGCTGGCTGTGACGTTGGTGGGGCCCCCGAGCATCAGAGGACCTCTCAGGCCTCTTGCTCCCCGGCTCCCAACTCCATTGTGCCGCGGCGCTTTTGCGAGGCAGCTCTGGAGGCGGGGGAGTGGACGAGGACAGAAGCACATGGCTTGGGCCTCCTCTCTGGAAGAAGGCATTGCAGACAGGCATCTCTGGGCTGCGATGTGGCCCTTGAACCAAGCCGTGGTCCTAGTCGTGAGACGTCAGAGCACAATCCAGGGTATAAAGCCCTGGAGTAGCCGTTCTCTTGCAACAGGAGCCAGAGGCAGCAAGGGCGGCTCTGGAAGGATCCCTAGAGGGCCCACCCCAGGCCCTCTCTCCCTGGAGGGCCGGGCCAGGAGATCTTGGCTGTCCACTCCGAGAAGGGCCCCGGGGCCACCGAGACCCTGCACGGCCTGGCCGTCCTGCCACTGCTCGCCCAGCCCCCATGGCCAGGGAATCTGGCTGACTTGCAGCTTGGGTTTTTATGATGGAAAAATAAAATAAATGGAGACACCTTTGGAGGGCTGAGTCACGCAGCAGCATCTCCTCATTAGAGCTGCTGCCCCTGGCTCGAGTCCCTGGGCTGGGGATCGGGTGGGGCCGGGAAGAGTCCAGGCTCGGGCTCCCCTGCCCCAACCCCGCCAGGTTAGTGGGGCTGGCCCACCACCAGGCTCCTCTGGCTGGCCCGCCTGCTTACAGGGGTCGGGCCGTTTCTCTCCAGCCCCAGGGCCCACAAGGCTGCTCCTGTCTGAGCTGGGCTTTAAACCTTGACCCCCTGGCGCCTGCCACATCTCCTCCTCCCTCTCCTCATCTTTGGGGGGCAAGAAGGAAGTTGCTCTGTAGTAATTCCAGCCTGTGGGTCCCCAAGGCGGGCAGCTGCTGTTCTAGGGTCGCTGGGCCACGGTACACCAGGAGGAAGAAGGAGCAGGGGAGGAGGAGAAGGCCGGCGTCCCCGGATGGGTGGTGGAAATCGGCCACTTGGTGGTCCAGCATTCACCCCTCTGGCTGCCTCAGGGCAGCCTGACATCCTCACAGCCCGCTTTGGTCCGGACATAGTGTCCCCTGTCCCAGAAGAGGCCCCCTGTGGGTGGTGAGGCCAGGGATTCAGAAGGCCTGAGGGAGCACCTGTTGGAGTTGCTGCCGTGGTGAAGCCGCAGCCGCTGGGGCCTTCCCTGGTCTCCAGGACCTGCCTGGTGGAGGGAGGCAGGTGTGTTCCTCTGTCACACGGGCCGGGCCCGGCCGAGGAGCACAGGGTGGGGAGCTCAGGGTGCTCTCTGAAGGAGTGGCCTTTGAACTTGATAAAGGATGGGAAGTAATGGGACAGGAGATAGGCAGCCAGGTGTTCTCCGCACCCCCAGCACCTTGTGGACTTCCAGGTGGCCTTTCTCCCTGCTGCCTTATCGTCCTCTCCACCCCCACCCCCACCCAGGCGCACTCCTGC